ATAAGTCTTTGCTTGCTCTGTCCTCTCCCTTCAGAAGGTTCCCTGCTTCTCAGTTATCTCCTTTCCCTGGAAATCTTCCTTAACATTGTCATAACCTAGAAGGCCCTTTAGGGTAAGCATGTCTGGGACCTGGATTAAGTGCAGGTTTTCTCCAAATACTTTGAGTGTCTCACATAGCTCATTACAACATCTGTTGGGTTTTTGTGTCTTCTGCTTCAGGTATGTATCTTCTCAATTGCAAGGAGAGGTCAAGGGTCATAGGGTCTCCTAACTCTCTAGGTGTCTGAGGCACCTAACTTCACTCTTACGTCATAAATCTAGAGAGTGTGTATTGAAAATGCTGAGAGAAAAGAAGAAAGGAAGTTTAAAATCAAGCTGAAATGTCCCTCTTGATAGAGAATCTATCAATAAGTGGAATCAATAGCACACAACTCCAGGTGAAGTGGACTGAATGAAAAAGAGAATCATTTCATCTTTCTCTGACACCAAAAGCTAGGTGAGAGTGGGTAGGAGGCAGAATTCCCAAGTTCAAAGCTTACACCTGGTGACTGTTCTCACTCTCTCAGGATAGGTGGCTTTTCTCTCTATTGGCTCAGCTTCAAGCAGCCTCTCCCAGGCCCTGGCAGAACTCCAAGGTTCTCAGTTGCCAGCTGCAACCCAGCAGGAAGTAAGGACCTGTTTTGTTTTTTTAAAAAAATCATTTCCTGACAAAAAGGACTAGAGGGAATTTTTTCTGACTTGGAAATGATTATGTCATTTACCTTCTGGCAAACTTACCAAGTCCTCTACAATGCTTAGGCTTAGGCACAAAGGACTGGCAAATGCTTTGTGGGTTTGTCAGCTTATTCCCAGAGCTGTGCCATAGATCATTTGTCTGGAACGAAGACTGGGAAGAAAGAGAGATAGCAGGGACTGGACTCCTGCTTTCCAAAGGGAAGTTAGGGTTCTGTCATCAAAGGTCAACAGGAAAATGCTTAAATCAGGCATAAAAGCCAAGCATAGTAGAGATGTACTCATGGATGTTTTGGATTGAATGAGTTGAGAGGTCTAGAGATATTTTAGTCATTCATTTTTATTGTATGCAACTGAGTGCTTACCTAAATGTACATACAGGTACCACATGCACTGCTGGTACCCACAGAGGCCAGTTCTAGGGCATTGGATTCCCTAGAACTAGTGTTACAGAGTCAGCTGACATGTGGGTGTTAGAAATCAAACCCAAATCCTCTGAATGAGCAGCAAGGGCTCTTAACTGCTGAGTCATCTCTCCATCCCTGAGTCGAGGGGTTTAATGCATCATAACGATGTCATTATTGTTCCCTCAGCCAGATTCATTCATAATTCAGGTAGCATTAATTACAAGAGGGATGGCAGTTGAGACATCTTGATTCCTGGTGGCAAGTGGGAAAAAGCAGCATCGACCACTAGACTATCCCTGTAGCTTCATCTATGCTCAGGATGAGCACAGCTCTGGACTCAATAGATCTCTCATGTGGTCCTCATTAAAATGGAAAGGCATGATAAATACAATAAAACATGAAGGAATAATAAGTCAATGTTTAGTGATGGCTCCATTCCCTTCAAATTGATGTTAGTGTGACTTTAAAGTCTGGGCATAGCTTGAGCCAGGAATCTGACATTGGGCTAGAACAAAGCAGGAATCTAAATCTTAGGCTATAACAAAGAAGTAGGCTTCAGACATGAAAATGACTTTGGGCTAGGCCAAGGAAGTAGGCTCAGATATTTTGGTCATCCTGATAAGCTCTTAGAGACAGTTATCATGGGAGTGTTTATGTAATTGTGTTTAATGCCTTGCTTGTTCTTTGACTCTTTGTGTTTATTGTCTTGCTTGTTCCTTGACTATTTGCATCTATTGCATTGTTAGACCCTCAAGCTAGAACTGACCTTAATATATGCATCAAGATGGTATAAAAGCAAAAAGGAGGAGGGGGATGGGATAGGGAGTTCTAGGGAGGGGAAATGGGGAAAGGGGATGACATCTGGGATGTAAATAAATAAAATATCCAAAAAAGTCTGGGCATAGAATTTGTCATTTTATTCATACAAAATGTAATTGGCTGAAGATGGTACCTAACACTTCCAGAAAGAATTGAATTATTTTAGCATAATGCCATTTCTCTTTAAAGTTTCAAAAACAGCAAGTCAAAGGTTGTTAGAGACTGGCTATGAACATGGATATTGTATTAAAAGAAAAAAAATGCAAGTATTCCATTTTGTAAGCAACCGTTGTTTTACTCTGCAGTTGCTGCTATATATTTAACAATTACTTTTTGAAATGTTTTATGCTTTGGAGACTACTGTAAGCACCTGGTACTTTATTCTAGTCTCTCTGAATTTCCTTATGCCAGCATATCAGATTGCATCTGAAAATCTCTACAGCAGATATTTTCTGTTTTCTACTATCATAAAGAGACTAAGAGGCTGACCAGCATCCTGCTAATACTGAAGGCAAATATTTCAGTTATTAAAACCTGATAAAGTGGTCAAATTAAATCCACAGAAGTCTTATCTAAGCAGATAGAACTCAAATAAAAAGCCTATGAATAAAATGCCTCTTAGCAACTACAATTTCCACAAACTTCAAATTTGAAGAGGATGTATATTTATTTGGGGTGGGGGAGAAGGCCAAAGCATACGTATTTGTTAAATTAAATACACCACAGTTATTCTACCAATGTAAATTCTTACTGTGAGCACAGTGCCCAGAGACATTACGCCACTTCACCAATTTTAAACATTAGGAAAGTGGAAGTTGAATCATGAGACACAAACATTAAAAAATAATAACAATTCTCCCAAACCTATAAATCACTTGTCTCAGAAAACATCTAATTATTTACAAATTTTCCTAATAATTGAAATGACTATGTTTACTTTCATTCATATTTTGTAGTTTTAGTTACTAAAACTAATTAAATTAGGTAAGAGACTCACCTAAATCATTTTTTCCCTTGAGACAGAGTTTTATTATACAGTCCCATCACCTGGAGCTCAGAGAGATCTGTCAGCCTCTGTCTGCCCAGTGCTGGGATTAAACCTGTGTGCCACCAATTCCTGCTCCAAATTATTTCCTAAGAGAGAAAAAATTAATAGACAACTGTTTTTTTTTCAAGAATTATTTGTGTGTGTGTGTGTGTGTGTGTGTGTGTGTGTGTGTGTGTTTAGGGATTTTATTCTCAGGTGAGTTTTGTTTTAGTAATATGGAGGCAAAAGCAAATTTTTATTTTTTAATTTCAGCATTCAATATGCACTGAGGTTTTGCAAGCATTAGTGTTTATTCATCCTAACATTTTGAGATAGTTACTAGCACTTGGGTGCGTTTCAATGATAGGAAACTAGCGCGTAGGTCACAAGTGTGATGTCCCAGTACCTGGTGGCACAACATTTCCTATCTGGCAGTTCTGAGTATCCACCTGCCTCTTAGTGCCTTTCACACTTCTCTGTAAAACGACCACATGGTTCTCAAAGAACTGTATCCAGACTCACAACTATCTAAAACTTGCCTGTTATGTGACCAAGAATCAAAACCCAGGGTGAGAAAAAAAAAAAAAAAAAAAAAAAAAAAAAAAA